TGGTAAAGAAGTGAAAAAGAGAGTCCAGGCAGGATGGAGTGGATGGAGAAAAGTTTCAGGGGTGATTTGTGACAAAAGGGTGTCAGCAAAGGTCAAAGGAAAAGTTTATAAGACAGTGGTGAGACCTGCTATGTTGTATGGTCTGGAGACAGAGACATGGACAAAAAGACATGAGAAAGAACTGGAAGTGGCAGAAATGAAGATGTTGAGGTTCACATTAGGAGTGATGAGGATGGATAAGATTAGGAATGAGATCATCAGAGGTACAACACAGGTTGAACAACTTTGAGATAAAGTTAGAGAGACCAGACTGAGATGGTTTGGACATGTCCAGAGGAGGGACAGTGGTAAAGCTATTGATAGGATGTTAGAAATGCAACTACCAGGGAAAAGACAAAGAGGAGGTATATGGATGCAGTTAGAGAGGACATGGAGGTAGTTGGAGTGAGGACAGAGTGAGATGGAGGAGGATGACTCGCTGTGGCGACCCCTGAAGAAGGAACATTCAGAAGAAGATTTTTATGACATATATTGACTTTTGTTCATTAACAGTGAAAAGCTGACAGCAGCTCTTTGTTAGCAGAACACGTAGAAGATATGTGTACCTAACTGTAATGTATACCATTACACTCCTAATAAAAAATAGGGAAAAGAACAGAATATTTATTTTGATCATGTTTGACCTAATAGAAACAAATTCAGCCATCCGCAGCATTTCTGTTGTCAGTATCAGAAACTATAGCCCTGAACTGTGCTTATTAAATCAGACAGTTTCATAATAATTACAGTCATGCATCAGGAGAAATCAAACATTTGTCTCATTTATTCCAAGACTTATCTGCCTGTGTAGTTCACACATTAAAATCTAAAGAGGAAATCATAAACAGATTCGCTCTCCAACTACACTGAGTCAGTCTCAGCCCTCTTAGTGCCCCTTATTCAGTCTTAACAGATCATGAATGAGCTCCAAGAATTTGTTGGATGCACAAAAACCAGGTTTTTGACCAGTCTGTTATGAAATGTTGTCTGACAGACGCTGGTTCAGGCAAACTTTGGGTGATAAATAACTTTTTCAAACTACTATATTCTCCTAAGCCTAAACTTTAGAAATGATTCACGCATGTGTGGCGGGTCCAAAAGCTAAAAATACGAATTTTTTTTTTGCTTTGTCTCAAATACAAAATCATATGTTCCTTTAAAATGTGTTCAATGTCACCTTTAAACATCTTCTGTCCCATTTGTCTGACGTATGTTTATGCTGGAGAAACTGTCCAACCTTATTGTTCAGCTTTGTGTAAACACTCCTGCAGGTCTCTCTTTTTGTTCTTTGTGTGCGTCGCGTCACTTCTTACGGGACCTGAAGTAGATCTTTATGCCACAAGAATAAAAGAAAGACAGAGAAATATACTAGGGGCATGTTTCTTCATGGCAGCAGCGATAAAGCTGCTTTTTTTTGGCTGCATTTTAAAACCGAGCTGTTGTCATTTTCTGTTTTTGCTCAGGGGGATGATGAAAGCTCTCAGGGAGATTCTTTAGACAAAGATTACAGCATCACTTTTTCCATAAGCTCACGCGCGCAGCTGGACAGTTATTTAATTCAACTATAAGTTAAGAGCTTTGTGTCAGCAGCGTTTCCTTTTAAAGCAGTGAAATAAAACCAGAGCAGCGTCTTCTCTGACTCAGCTGTGCTCCCTCTTCATTCCATTAGCCTGAATCCAGGCTTGAAATGTGCGCTCAACAGGACTAAAGTGTTAATTCAACAAGCTGTGTGGTAGTGGTGCCTAAAGGGAGGATTTGAGATGAAAGTTTCAGTTTTACAACCAAAAATAAAGACTCTTTAAGTTACAAGTTGTAACCACTTCTCATACGCCCATCCAAGGCAGACATATTATGGTATAATCTCCATAGGTATGTACGTAAACGTTCTCTTGTCCGGCCCTTCATTTCTGATCCGCTCAGGATAATTTAATAAAACTTCATACATGTATTCAACACACTAGACGGAGTGTTGCATACATGTTTCATTACATCAGCTCCAAGGTCAAGGTCACAAATCAAGATCAAAATGTATACAAGGTCTGCTTGTCTGGGCCATCGCTATAGATTGCTGTAAAAGTAAGTACTGTACTTTCCGCCGTACACGTTGCACCGCCTTATAAGTCCCATCAGTCCAAATATGTCTAATAAAGTGGAAAAAAACATAAATAAGTCACTTGGCCACATAAATCGCATTTATTATGCGTCATCGCTGACAACCCGGAAACGTGGGCCGGTGTTGAGCCAAAAATCGATTGGCTGCCAAATGGCGGCCGTAGGAGCATGCATGGGGGGACTTTAACAAGAATTTAACAAGATTAACACTTAAAAACAATTATTTGTTTGCTCGACATTATAGCAAAGGTGTGTCTCAGGCCAGATTATATCTGGGGTTAGAGGGGCCTAGGCTTATTTATACCCCGCAGAGATGCCAGTCCTAAAGTTTGACCCAGGACAGTTTTATCTTCCTGTACACTCTATATCTTAAACTATACCTAGGTTTAATCTGTTCAGGTTACACCCACCTCCAAAAAAAACATCATAGTTATCAAAGGGTCTGCTCAGTTACCGTCTGATTAAAGAGAATTGCAGCTATGTTTGGGAATATTCTAAATAAATCCAGTATTTTGGATTGTTTAGTTTTAAAAGTTTTACAAATGTCACTTTCGTCTGGATTTTATGGATTAAAGTAGATTACCAGGAGTTTCTCTTTAGTTTGCTCTGATTGTTTTGGAGCTGATTGGACCAGCTGTGGTCACTGATCAGTAAATGGGTTAAAGGGGCTAATGTGCAGAAGCTTTCAGAGGAACCATCTTAATGTCACATGTTGACTCTCTCTGGTCATTTTTCTGTTTGCAGATGTTTTTTTACAACATTTCCAAAGAAACAGCTGCAAAAAGCAGTTTAAATAATCTTAGCAGGTACAGCCCGTCCCTTTGGAACCTCTAAATAAATGTGACAAAGTGTTAATTTTCTTCATATAAGCTGTCAGGTGACTCCATGAAGACAAGCTGCTACAGTTTTGCACCTTCTTATGCAACATGACGTGAGGAGTTCCCGTCACGTTGAACTTTTCCTTAATAAATGCACTTTGACGGTCAAATCAGCTGCATTTCGCCTGGGCGATGAAATGCAGCTGATGTGATGTTTGCTCCAGGAGTTCCGAAGCGAGATGAAGGTGGCTCTATGGCAAGTCAAGTGTCTCATTAATAGCCACTTTCACCAATAATGGGACACTTGGCTTGCCATATTAGTCGAGAGCCCTCTAGTGGCTGAAAATGGTAGTGTTCAATATTTTCCATGTCCAAATGAATGACCTAGTCAGATCTCAGCCAAAAATTGGTTAAAAATATGGAGGAAAAAAAACTTGTATTAGTCGCTTTGACGTAAGTCGCAGAACTTGCAAATTTATGCAAAAAGATGCGACTTATACAGCAAAAAATGCAATAAGTTTCTTTTGGCTGCTCCCTTTTGAGGGGTTGCCACAGTGAGCAAACTCACAAGAAATATTTGGCATTTGCTTTACGCCGGATGCCGATGAAACATGGGCTTGAACCTGCAACCTCAGGATTACAAGACCACTGCACTGACCACCAAGTTACCGCTATAAATTGCTGTATAATAGCGTTAATGGGCGTATGCAACCTTATCCATTCGTCTATCCATTATCTTTTACCTGCTTTTTCCATTTTGGGTCATGGGGGTCGCCAGTGCCCATGTCCATCAATCACTGTGCGAGGGGCGGGGTACACCCTGGACAGGTCACAAGTCCATCACAGGGCCACATAGAGACAAACGAGACAAACTACCATTCACTCGCTCACTCACACCTAGGGACAATTTAGCGTTACCAATCAACCTAACATGCATGGTTTTGGTCTGCGGGAGGAAACCAGAGTACCCGGAGAAAACCCATGCATGCACGGAGAGAACATGCAAACTCCACTCAGAAAGTCCCCTGGACCGGGATTTGAACCAGGGACCTGCTCGCTGAGAGGCAGCAGCTCTACCAGTTGCACCACCGTGCTGCCCTATGTCTTTGTCATAGTATATAAATGTATTTTATACATTTGCCTCTTTGCAATGCTTTATCTTGATATATTTTATCATTGAGCTTTTAAGTTCATAATGATTATCATTTTATTATCATCTTGGATGTCCTGCTTTGTCCTTTTTTAGATTACCCCTTTGATATTGATATTAACTGTCTGGCTGTCCAGTTACCGCTCAGATCAGAGGTAATGTGTTCAACATAACGGTACTTCTTCCAGTTATCTAATTGTTAACAATGGTGTACCACAAGGCTCAGTCTTAGGACCCACCCTATTCACATTCTACACAAGTAATGTAGGTCAGATCATCCCTGATGCATTCTTACATTTCTATGCCAACGACACAGTTGTTTATTGTCTAGCTAGAACAACTGCTAAGGTTTTTCAGCTTTTACAGTCTGCTTTTGACATCATCCACTCAGATTGGTTCCGTCTCAGACTGGTGCTAAATGCTGATAAAACCAAAGGGATTGTGGGTTGTTTTCAAACAGGAAGTTGACCCTTAATCTTAATCTTCCTTCTATTTTATCTTTAAATGGTGGCCCTATTGATTTTGTTGATTATTAGAAATACTTGGGTATTTTGTTCAATTCACATCTCTCTTGTAAGCCTCGTCAAAAATTTGGTAAAGAAACTGAAAGTAAAATAGGGTTTCTTTTTTAGAAATAAATCCTGTTTAACTCTGAATGCTAGTAACCACGTTGTAGCTGCGACTTTCCTTCCCTCCACTGACTATGGTGACATTATTTACATGAATGCTCCTGCAAGAACTCTGCAGATGTTGGATGCTGTTTATCACGGTGCACTAAGATTCATAACTGGTTGTAACTACCGTACCCACCACTGCACCCTGTATTCACTGGTTAACTGGACATCATTAACTTCACGCAGACTCTCTCACTTGGACATTTTCATCTTTAAATCACTTCTTGGTCTGTTGCTTTCATACATGTCCTCCTTCATGTCACTGCGTGAGTACAGAGCGTACGCTCTCAGGACATAATTACCTGCAGTGTGCCCTCAGTGCAGACTGATCAAGGCAAAATGGCCTTCTCTTACTCTGCTCCTGTTTCCTGGAACACCATGCAAAAAGATCTGAAGCTCTTGACCTTAACCTCTCTAAGGGATTTAAAATAAACACTAAGTTCATGGCAACACAAATGCAGACGTCCCTGTTTTTTGTATTTTACATTGCTTTATAATGTAGCTGTTTTGTTTAGTTTTTATATAATTTCTTCTATTTACTTTTTCATTTCATATGCTTTTTATATGATTATCTATTGTGGTATGTACCTAATCTGTGTTCTTTGTTTATAACAGGTCTCTCTTGTAAATGAGTCCTCGTGGCTCAATGAGACCTGTATAAATAAAAGTTGAATGAAAATATTCTCATTTATGAAGCTATACATAAAGAGGAGCAAAATGACAACTAGTTGACATTAAGATACAAATACTGTATTTTTGAATTGAATTGTAAGGAAACAAAATAATAATTGCCAGTTAAAGTGCCAAAAGATACAGATAAACCAAACCAAGAGTGAGTAACACACCACTAAGCCATCAAACAATCAGGAACAATGACAGGTGGGAAAATAAAGCACAAAAACTACCGTAACCAAAACTCCAAACACAAAACTAAAACTTAACACCAGAACAAGAGGCCTACAAGATCTAGAGCTGTAGAACAGTTTTATTTCCAACTGGAGGAAACCCAAACATAAGTCAGAGTCAGTCTGTTTAATAAATGTGTTGAAGAATAAATAATCTTTCACCATTTTTCCACCAATACTTACGTATGCCATGCTTATTTTAAGGCATTTTAAAGGTTTTGTGTTTGCTCAATTTCAGGGAAGATCGTCATCGACGGCATCGATATCTGTAAGCTTCCTCTGCAGACTCTCAGGTCTCGACTCTCCATCATCCTCCAGGATCCGGTCTTATTTAGCGGCTCAATAAGGTATATAAACACGCGGACTGAAATTGAGCTTCTGTATATCCTTTCTGCTAACCCTCACCTCCCCGGGGAGACACTATTAAAGCCTGAACTACATCACTGCTCACAACTTCCTGTTCGTGTTTTTAAAAGTCGTGTTACTCGTCAAAACACTGGATCAAGAACTGTAAACTGTTTGAGGAGGCGGACGTCGTAATAATCATTGGCGCCTTTGTAATCTCATCTGTTATTCTAAATCTCTGAGAAGCTGAATAGTAATAATAAATCATGATGAACAAAGCCACTATGATAGGACTAAACCTGAACCGGTTTTGTAGTTAAGCTTTGGAGTTTTGCTGAATTTTTTTGGCATTTAATTTAAAACGACAGTTTTCCATCATTTATATTTTTAACCAGCTGAAATTAATGGGTTGCATGTCAAACATTCGTCATAAAATAGCAATATTATTAGTTATTTTTGAGCTTTATTGCATAATACAATTTATATTTTGGTATTTGAAAATTCCTTTTTTATTACTTTTGATCATTGTATTAATATAGTTATCAATATTCTATATATTGGTGAACCAGACCTCGGTCTTTTAATCTCTGTTCCATCACTGAGAGAAAAACAAACTTAACAACTGTCCTCTCACATGATCCAACAGCGACGTTCCTTTTAATCTGTCCAGCTCAAGAACAAACATTAAGGAGAACTTTCTTGATGATTGTGGGAGGTGGTGGGGTTTTTAGGATTGGAGGGGGTGCGAGTTGTGAAACATTAGAAGCGCCTGAGAAAAGCTGAACTCCAAGTGAATTTTAAATAGCTCATAAAGTTTATGACTGATATTTGTGATATACAGTAGTCATTTGTGAACTTGCACAAGGGGACATAACAGTTAGACTCTTTATACAGTCCACCCCTAGTTGGGGTCATGTTTTCCAAGGTAGATATGACCATGTCATAAAATTAATAAAATTCATAGAAACCTAAAATAAGTATGCTTTTTTTCTGAATGATAGTTTAAGTGGGGGTCCTCCACGAGTATGGGAGTGGGAGTTTGTTGCTATGTCCATTCAGCCCCTTTACAAGCGGTGTGAGAGTTTGGTTTTCAATTCTGGCAATAAGTCGGACCCTTCAGGGTGGGCGTTGGACTCCGCCAGGGCTGTCCGTTGTCACCGATTCTGTTCATAACTTTTATGGACAGAATGTCTCGATGTAGCCAGTGGACAGAGGGAGTCTGATTCGGTGGCTTCAGAATTTTGTCTCTGCCATTTGCGGATGATGTGTTCCTGTTATTGTCATTGTGCCGTGATGTCCAGCTCTCTCTGGAGCGGTTTACAACTGAGCGTGAAGCGGCTGGGATGAGGATCAAAACCTCTAAATCTGTGGTCATTGTTTGTAGTCAGAAAAGGCAGATTGCCCCCTCTGGGTTCAGGGTGAGGTTCTGCCTCAAGTGGAGGAGTTCAACTATCTTGGGTTTTGTTTATGAGTGAAGGATGAATGGAACGTGAGATTTATAGATGGATCGTGTGGCTTCCTCAGTATTGTGACCTCTGTGCCCATCTGTTTTGATGAAGAGGAAGCTGAGCTGTAAAGCAAAGCCCTCCATTTACTGGTCGGTCTACGTTCCTATCCTCACCTATGGCCACAAGCTCTGGGTAGTGACTGAAGGAACGAGATTGCAGATACAGGCGGTTGAAATGAGTTTTCTCTGCAAGGTAGCTGGACTCTCCCTTAGAGATAGTGTGAGAAGTTCCATTATCTGGGAGAGACTCAGAGTAGAGCATGGCATCCACATTGAGAAGAGCCAGTTCAGGTGGTTTAGACATCTGGTAAGGATGCTCCTAGGATGGCCTCCTGGATGCCTCCCTGAAGAGGTGCTCCTGGCATGTCCAACTAGGAGGAGACTCCAGGGAATACCCAGGACACGGAGACGCTATGTCTCTCAGCTGGTCTGGGAACTTGGGGTCCTCCCAGAAGAGCAAGAAGTAGTGGCTGTGGAAAGAGTCTGTCTGGGCATCCAAGCTGCTGGCCCTGCGACCCAACACTGGATGGATGGATGGACGGATGGATGGATGGACGGTCGAATGGATGGATGGACGGAAGGATGGTGCTGGACGACTTTCAACTAAATTCTCAGAAAGTAATCATTATATGTAAATCTTCAACTATTTAACTTTTGAACTAAAAACCAGGAATCATAGCTTATACATTAAAGGTATTGGTAGTTTAAAAATCAAAGCATGTATATACATTGAAATCTTTTAAAGCACGAATTATGTAAGAGATACTGTTTAATTGATCACACTGAACTGGTAGTCCCAGAAAAGAAACGCCGCATTCTGATCTAAAAATAAAACTTATTTAGAAACTAAATTCCAAATTTTCACATCGTCACATCTGAAGGGACATGCCTAAAGCGAGGCACCGACTGAACGGACAAGCAGGAGAAACAACAAAACCCTCTTTGCGGAGTTATTGGCAGCGTTTTTTTCTGAAGGTTGTTTGTCACATGACCGCGTCGAGTCGCAGCTGCAGGGTGAGAGGTTTGAAACGCAGTGGGAAACTCTGGTTGGGACCTAATCTGACTTGTGTCACGGACGTCCCATACTGAGGAGGAGGTCGTTGGAGAGATGGAAACCGCCACGTCTCCTCCTTCTCCTCCTCGTCTCGGCCTCGCTCTCAGCCTCTCCGTGTTTGTGTTACGAGATAATAACACTGACTGTGTTTGTTATAAAAGACAAAGAGCATGTGCTGTTTGTTTGGACAGATATGCCGTTTGAGATAATTGTGTGTGCGTTGGGGAGTTTGTAATTCAGCGTGTATCCTTTTTTTCAGTGACGTTTGTTTATGTGAACGTAAGCCTGAGGTGAATGGTCGACAGTGACTGCCTCACACTGTTTTCTTAGATGTTGCTGGACGTTCTGACACAGTTTGACTCATTCTTATTCAGACACACACACGATGTTACTCGAGGTCCGATTACTAATTCATCAAAATCTCAACAATTTAAGGATGACTGTTAACAGGAAATTAACACTTGTACTAAACGTTGACAAGAAAAGAGGTATATATATATATTTTTTTTTTAATTTCACAAGATTACTACCAAATCAAGCTTTGATTGTCATATTTCTTGTCTGCCATAGTTTTAAACTAAGATTTCATTCTCAGAGTATGTGATGAGAACCCTCTCATATTTGTAAAAAGTGGCTGAGTTTTTGCCATTTTGGGGTTAACGTTGATCAGCTGCGGCAGCCATCTTGACTAAGGAAAGTTAATCAATTGTAGATGTGAATCCAAGGATTACTTCCTAAGAATCATATTAAAATATGATCACTGGTTTATGAAATATATTGCTAAAAGATAAACATAAACATAGGCGATAAAATGATAGCCCACTTTTTATCAAGGTTCTTTATTGTCATTAACATCACATGTGGTACAAGAGGTGGAAAGAAATTGTGTGCACAGGGTTCCAGTTACACCCAGCAATAATATACACCACAAAAAAAGAAACAGTATACAAGGATACACGCTGAACAGTAATAATATAATATAATATAATATAATATAATATAATATAATATAATATAATATAATGTAATAAGGTGTATTAAACAGCAGTCTGAACATGAGCTCGCTGCTCCACACAGAGGGCTGAGGTAGCTCGGTGGTCTGTGGTTGCGTCAGGAAGGGCATCCAGCGTAAAAGAATAACTGCCAAGTCTTCGTGCGACTTAGTTTGCTGTGGTGACCCCTAATGCAGGGAGCAGCTGAAAGAAGAAGGGAAAGAATAAAAAACAGCAGCTTGAACATGAGTTTGCTGTGAGCAGATGGTATGAATACAGCAGCTTATGGGTAAGAGATCAGCAGCATGGATAATCAGCAGCTCAAATTAAGTGACATATCTTCAATTAAAGTGGAATTAAAGTGATTATCCTGATTAGAGGTTCGTGAGTCTAACAGCCTCAGGGTAGAAGCTGTTCCTCAGTCTAGTGGTTCTACACTTAATGCTCCTCAACCTCTTTCCTGATGGGAACGGGGCAAAAGTGTGTGTGCTGGGTGAGTGGGGTCCTTCATGACGCAGGTGGTCCTCTTCCTGCATCTGGAGGTGTAGATGTCCGTGATGGTGGGGAGACTGACTCCAACAGTCTTCTGTGCAGCCTTCACTACTCTCTGCAAAGCTTTTCTTTCTGCAGCTGTGCAGCCTCTATGCCACACGTTGATGCTGGAGCACAGGATGCTCTCCACTGCACACCTGTAGAAGGAGGTGAGGACTGAGCTTCCCAGACCAGCTCATCTCAGCCGCCTGAGGAAGTAGAGTCTCTGATGAGCTTTCTTGATCAGGCTGGTGGTGTTGTTGCCCCAGCTGAGGTTGTCATTCAGGTGCACACCCAAGTACTTGTAGCTGGAGACCACTTCCATCGCAGATCCTCCTATGTTTGGGTGGGGGGGGGGGGGGGGATATGTGTGTTTGTTCCTTCTGAAATCCACAATCATCTCCTTGGTCTTCGTCACATTGATGTGAAGGTTGTTCTTCCTGCACCAGCTCTCCAGGTGTTCCACCTCCTGCCTGTAGCTGAACTCATCGTTGTTTGTGATGCATCCCACCACTGCTGTATCATCTGCAAACTTTAAAATATGACAGCCTTGTTGGGTATGTGCGCAGTCATACATGAGCAGAATGAACACAAGAGGGCTCAACACACAGCCCTGAGGGGAGCCAGTGCTTATGGAGTCGAGCAATACTAAAACACCAGTTTAAAAAATGTTGGGACATTATTTAAAATGTTTAATGTTAGAAAGAGAACTGGGTAGAAATAGCATTTTAGAGAGTCTGAATCAGAAGTAAAGATGGGCAGAGGTTTACCAGTCTGTGAAAAACTGTCCAAAAATAGTTGAACAGTTTCAAATTAGTGTTCCCTAAACATATTCTGGACAGGCTCTGAACTATATTATTACATAAATGTATTGTCCACACTTCCTCTATGTCATTTGATTTTGAGTTTCGGAGGTCAATATGTTTTGGTGATCATATTTAAGAAGGTATTTCAGACAGTCTGCAGTGACAGGACGGTGGCTGACGAGCTAGTTTTAATGGGGCCAAGATTAAATAGATTGCTGAAATTTTAAAACTCCAAAATGTCAGTAATTTGTCTAAATGCTCACAATCATAAAAATTAGCATCACAGTTACAGGTATTTATTAGTGATGTTAGCGGTGGCTACTGCTATCTATTTCAGTATAGCCTGGGGGGGCATTTCCATCATGAAATTATATTTCTGCTGAAATAAAAGAGGAATAAGAAATGATTGGCAACGTAAATGTGACTGTATGAATTGTTATGATATTTTGAAGACTGGAGTTGTTTGAAGGTTGCAAAAGGACTCGAGACTTCCTCTTTGGAAGTCGATCCATTTGGACTAGGTGTCTTTATTACAGTCTGAGCAGAAAGCAGATTTTCATGTCCCAAAACACTTCCAATCATAAAAATTTCATAGTAGCTCTGTCAGACTGCTATAAACTTTATTTATACACAAGTAGCAACCAAAAACAGTAGTATTTTTTAAATAAGTGTGTAACGGTACATGTATTTGTATCCAACAGTCACGGTACAAACGTCACAGACAAGTCCAGAGACCACACGACCAACATGTTAGATACAGATCATCTCTCTCATCCTAAAGGAGCGTGTGCGTTTGTTTTTAATTTGCCTCTGTAGAAATAAAAGCCACTTGCGTCTGTTGCAGGTTTAACCTGGATCCAGAGCGGAAGTGCACAGACGATCGCCTGTGGGAGGCGCTAGAGATCGCTCAGCTGAAGAACATGGTGAAGGCGCTCCCCGGAGGACTCGGTACTCAAACGTTCACTTTGATTAAAACTAAAGTCACATTTAAAGTTTTGTAGGATGAGGTTTAGTTGGAGTTAGATGTATTTTTTTGTGTTTAGACGCGGTTGTGACAGAAGGTGGAGAGAACTTCAGCGTTGGACAGAGACAGCTGTTCTGTTTGGCCAGAGCCTTCGTCAGGAAGAGCAGCATCCTCATCATGGATGAAGCCACAGCATCCATAGACATGGCCACGGTGGGTTGGTGTGTAAAATTATCTGAGCGGCTGCTTTAAAATATCTGCTTGTACGGCTGAGCTTTGATAATCAATAATAATTAGTTTAAAGTTTGAACTTAAAGACTCAAATGTTAAAAGTGTAGGATGACACCTATCTTAACTGGGATTTTGTGGAGAATGAGCATCACAAGTTCTTTTATTCTTCAGAAAATTGTAATTTTGCACAGAAGCAGCAAATGAAGGGTAATGCTCAGCTCCGTTTGCAATTTTCTTTGAATAAAAATAGATTTTAACCTTAAACTTTTTACTCTGTTGCAGCATCAGACTATGTGATTTCAAACTAGCATAGAAACATCATATGGCTTTATGCAATAATTATTATATATTGTAGGAACGGTCATAATCTCTGTGTAAATGTAAAATTAAACAAAAAAAAGCAAGAAAAAATATTTGTACCCAGTGGCTGTGATACTTTTTGGAGTTTGAGGTTTAAAGGACTCTGTACCGCTGAAGTGACAGTTTTAAAAACGCCTTTGAAGAGTCCGATTTGTTACCAGCACGACACCAGGGTTGCCCTTTGTCACAGATTCTGTTCATAACTTTTATGAACACAGTTTATAGGTGCAGCCATTGAGAGGAGAGTCTCCAGTCTGAGGGTCTTCGGATTACACCACTGCTTCTTTTATTTATTTATTTTTTGCTGATGTGGTCCTGCTTACCTCATTAATCCTCCAGCTGGCACTGGTTTTCAGCCAGCTGTGAAGCAGACTGCATGAAGATCAGCAGCTTCATGTCTGAGGCCATGGTCCTCAACCACAAGAGGCTGACTTGGTAATTTAAAGTTGAGAATGAGCTCCTGCCCCAATACGAATAGTTCAAGTATGTTGGTGTCTTGTTCGTTGTGTTAGGGGGTAGACATGGGGGGTTGGACGTCTTCTGAACATCTTACAAAAGAGGGGTTTCAGACATGTCCTGCTAGGTGAGGATCTTGACCCAGAACTGACTGAAGAGCTTATATCTCACAGCTTGGAAACACCTTGGAGTCCTTTCAGATGAGCCAGAGGAGACAGAGAGGGATGGATGGAAGTCTCTGCCTAAAATGATGGATGGATAGTTGGACAAGTTGTAATACGGTTGTTTAATACTTCTCATCAAATGAGGTGCAATACTTTGAGTAAACTGGAAACAGTGTTCACCACTCATCTATTGCTAGAGGGAGTTTGTCATTTAGCATCCACCATTCATAGATCCATCCATCCATAGATCCATTCATCCATTCATTCATTCATGGATCTATCCATCCACCCATTCATAGATCCATTCATCCATTCATCCAAAGATCTATCCATCCATCCTTCCATAGATCCATTCATCCATGCATCCAGAGATCCATTCATCCAGTGATCCTTCCATCCATAGATCAGTCCATAGATCCATTCATCCATAGATCCATTCATCCTTAGATCCATTCATCCATAGATCCAGCCATCCATCCACCCATAGATCAATCCATAGATACATCCATACATTCATGCATAGAGCCATTCATCCATAGATCCATTCATCTGTAGATCCATCCATTCATATATCCATCCATCCATTCATCCATAGATCCATTCATCCATAGATCCATCCATCCATTCATCCACAGATCCATTCATCCATAGATCCATCCATCCATCCATCCATCCATAGATCCATCCATCCATTCATCCATTCATCCATCCAGCCATCCATAGATCCATCCATCCATTCATCCATAGATCCATTTATCCATAGATCCATCCATATATCTATCCATCCATCCATCTATCATCTATCCATCCATCATCCATCCATAGATCCATCCATTCATCCATAGATCCATTCATCTGTAGATCCATCCACCCATTCATCCATAGATCCATCCATCCATGTATCCATCCATCCATAGATCCATTCATCCATTCATAGAACAATTCATCTGTCAATCCGTCCATCCATCAGTCCATCCATTGATCCATAGATCCATTCATCTATAGAGCCATTCATCCATAGATCCATTCATCTGTAGATCCATTCATCTGTAGATCCATCCATCCATCCATCCATAGATCCATTCATCCATCCATAGATCAATTCATCTGGCAAGCCGTCCATCCATCAGTCCATCCATCCATCCATAGATCATCCATCCATCCATAGATCCATTCATCCATCCATTCATCCATAGATCTATCCATCCATCCATCCATCTATCCATCCATCCATAGATCCATCCATCTATCCATCCATCCATCCATCCATAGATCCATCCATCCATTCATCCATAGATCCATCCATCCATTCATTATCTTTTACTCACTTCTTCCTTTCTGGGTCGCGGGGGTCACTGGTGTCCAGTCACTGTGTGACAGGCGGGGACACCTTGGACCGATCTACGTCCATCACAGGGACACGTGGACAGGTCTCCAGTGCATCACGGGGACACATAGAGACAAACGAGACAAACAACCATTCACTCTCACTCTCACCTAGAGACAATTTAGAGTTACCAATCAGTCTAACATGCATGTTTTTGGTCTGTGGGAAGAAACAAGAGCACCCGGAGAAAACCCACACATGCACGGAGAGAACATGCAAACTCTACCCAGAAAGGCCCCGAGCCGGGATTTGATCCGGAGACCTTCTCGCTGAGTTCTCACCCCCGCGTAATGTCAGCGTCATTATGTGCTCGCGGGCGAGATTTTTTTCATAACCACACGGCTGACCTTCAAACAGAGGTTAAAAGCGTGTTAGGAATTTGTTTTGTCTCCAAACCCTATGTATCATTTCTCACCACTTTTATTGTCTGTCCAAACAGATCTCACTTGTAAATGGGTCTTCGAGGCTCAATGTGACTTATCTGTTTAAATAAAGGTTGAATGAATGAATGAATAGTTCCACCTTTCCAGCCTGAATCTGCAAGTTTTGTTTATGCGGATTTCAAGTTTAGAAATAAAGAATTTCTTTGACTTTTGGTTTTGTATGTGACCTAGCAGGGCTTTGTAGTTTGGAGTATTTGCACCTGATAGTTGTTCTGCTCTGCCTATTTTCTATAATTTGCCTTTGTTTTCTTACAGGAGAACATCTTACAGAAGGTTGTGATGACGGCGTTCTCAGACAGAACAGTCGTTACAATCGCAGTAAGTCACTCAGTCTTAACCTGTTCTTATAAATGAAACAAAAAGCAAACAAAGCTGCTGAGTCTCAGCTGACGCTTGTTCAGGTCTGATGTGGATTTATACCTTTGAATCCATAATTATTTCTCTTATGCATCGTTTCCTGAATTTTACGTTATTTTTCACACCAATTGTATTTCCCTGCAGTCTCAGCTTCTAACAAATTATGTGAACTTAATGTAAAATTATCCTTTTTCACCACTTTTTCTTAATCTTTTTTCTGCTTTTTGTGATTGTCTTGTGTTTCTCCATTCCCCACATTTTAAACTTCTTCTTTTTATTAATTTATTTTTCTTTTGCTTTCAATTCAACTTTTCTTTCCTCATTTTTTCTCCCTCCCTCCATGTCTAATGTGTACTCTTCTCTGTATTATCTCCCCGTTTGTCTTCCTTGTCCCTTCGTCCTGCCGCCAGCACCTTGTGTCCTCTATCTTGGATGCGGAGCAGGTGCTGGTCTTCTCCTCAGGGATCTTGGTGGAATGTGACTCGGGTCCTAACCTTCTGGCTCAGGACAAGAGCCTCTTCAGTGTGTTAGTGAGGACTCATATGTAGACCCAGATCTGCTCAGACTGCTTTGGCTTGGCCGACTCTCCGGCTGAGTCAGAGCTAGATACTGAGTCTGGGTCTGCTAAAGCCTTACTACACTGACTGCCTGGTTGGTACCAAACAAACTCCTGCATGCACTTTTCTATAAATCTCACATATATGCAATGACATGTCTGTAGTCTGGGTAAAATTCAGTTCAAATTAAAACTACGGTAGCATGAACTACTGTCAGTCGAGTGGCAAATCTGAGGGTGAGAAATGCCTGAGGAATGGAGAAGAAGTGTGCTGGTGCCCATTTTTAAAAACAAAGGTGATGTGCAGAGTTGTAACACTTACAAGGGAGTTGAAGAGTCACAATGAAGATCTGGGAGAGAGTTGTGGAAGCTAGACTTAGATGAGAGGTGACTATTTGTGAGCAGCAGTATGGTTTCATGCTGAGAAAGAGCACCACAGATGCCATCTTTGCTTTGAGGATGCTGATGTAGAAGTACAGAAAGTGTCCAAAAGAACTCCATTGTGTCTTTGTGGATTTAGAAAATGCATATGACAGAGTGCTGAGGGAGGAGATGTGGTATTGCATGAGGAAATCTGGAGTGGCAAAGTATGTTAGACTGGTACAGGACATGTATGAGGACAGCAGGACAGTGGTGAGATGTGCTATAGGAGTGACAGATAGCTTCAAGGTGGAGGTGGGAGTGCATCAAGGATCAGCTCTTAGCCCCTTCTTGTTTTCTCTGACTAACAGATGAGGTCAGACAGGAATCCCCGTGGACTATGATGTTTGCAGATGACATTGTGATCTGTGGTGAGAACAGGAACAGGTGGAAGAGAACTTGGAGAGGTGGAGGTATGGACTTGAAAGAAGAGAAATGGAAGTCAGCCATAGTAAGACAGAGTACATGTGTGTGAATGAGAGGGAGGAGGTGGAACAGTGAGGCTACAAGGAGCAGAAGTCACAAAGGTGCAGGACTTCAAGTACTTGGGGTCCACTGTCCAGGAAAATGGGGAGTGTGGTAAAGAGGTGAAAAAGAGAGTCCAGGCAGGATGGAGTGGATGGAGAAAAGTTTCAGGAGTGATTTGTGACAAAAGGGTGTCGGCAAAGGTCAAAGGAAAAGTTTACAAGACAGTGGTGAGACCAGCTATGTTGCATGGTCTGGAGACAGTGGCATTGACAAAAAGACAGGAGAAAGAACTGGAAGTGGCAGAAATGAAGATGTTGAGGTTCTCCTTAGGAGTGACAAGGATGGATAAGATTAGGAATGAGATCATCAGAGGTACAGCACAGGTTGAACAACTGGGAGATAAAGTTAGAGAGACCAGACTGAGATGGTTTGGACATGTCCAGAGGAGGGACAGTGGGTATATTGGTAGAAGGATGTTCGAAATGCAGCTGCCAGGGAAAAGACAAAGAGGAGATATATGGATGCAGTTAGAGAGGACATGGAGGTAGTTGGAGTGAGGACAGAGGATGCAGAGTACACAGTAAGATGGAGGAGGATGACTCACTGTGGAGGCCCCTGAAAAGGGAAAAGGTGAAAGAAGAAGAAGAAGAAGCATGCATCAGTCATGGTGGTGTTCCAATATCTAATGTCTGTGTCAGTTCACTGCACATGAAAAACTAAAGTCCTGCTTGTGTTCCTGGACAAGAAAACAAGTAAATTAGCAGGCCTCTTCACAACTGGACCAGGGCTTTCAAGGAGTTAATTGATTTTTTTTATCAAGGCAGGTATTTGAACACCTTAATTTAATAAGAGCTGAACTTAATAAAAAGAACAACATGCAGCAAAAACCTGTTTGAGTTTGTAGGTATAGGGTGCATGTTCTGCATGTCCCAACCGGTCCATCCACATTCTCACTCTGTAGAATGGTTTTCAGCCAAGAGACCAATCTTTGGACCTGGACGCTGTGTTACCAGAACCTGACGGTGTCTCTGTTGTATGTTCCAGCACCGCGTCCACACCATCCTAACCGCCGACCTGGTCATCGTGATGAAGCGAGGGAACATCCTGGAGTACGACAAACCGGACACACTGTTGGAGCAGGAGGACGGCATGTTTGCCTCGTTTGTCCGAGCCGACATGTGAACTCTCCGTCGCTGAGAGACGGCTCAGTTTGCTCACTAACTCACTGGGTTTTTATTTTTTTAATGAACAGGACACAAACCAAACAAATGATGCCGTGTTTCTTAACAAGCATGACCGTGTGGACAAGTCGTACTTGAAACCGTTTTTATTGCTTCATGCTCTTTTGAGATCTGACGTCTAAGTAGATTTTATATCCTAACTTGGACTCATTGGGCCTTTCAGGTTAGCTTTTCTATTGACACCACAGGAAAAGGTGCAGCACAGTTTTCACTTAGCTCCACCGCACAGCCTACATCCTGACTGAAGAGCTCAGAGCCGCAATGAAAACATAGGAAATATCGGCAAACTACCACATATGTCACATATTTATGCTCAATAAACGCTGACTCTGAATGTTTTAAAACGTTCTGTTTTTGGGGGTCTGTTTTTATCTCTGTTTGACTATTTATACTAATAATTTGATTTAATGGATTATATTAATGTATAAAACTAGTCTTTGTTCCAAATTAAAAATGCTGAAAGAAGTGAAACTATCTGAATACTTTCAATGTGGGCCCGTGAAGCATGTTGGCTGAACATTTAGCCTGTGTCAGTATTGGGTCGGGCCAAGCCTCTGTTGGGTTTTAGTTGTTCTACCCTTCGGTATTTTCTTTAGCGTGTTGCCAGCAGCTTGGATTTTAAATATAATTCTTAGAAGGTTGTATCTTTTAATTAAACACAACTCTATGACGATGTAAAATTATGTTTTTTTTTAACCTGGTTCTCCTTGAACCACCAGAGTGTTTTAAGGTTCTTGTCCCAGTCTGAGTGTCCCTGAAGGATTTCTTTATATTTAGCTCCACCCTTCTTTTCTTCAACTCTGACCAGTTTCTCAGTTCCTGTTGATGAAAGGCATGATGCAGCCACCACCATGCTTCACTGTAGGGGATGGTATTTCTAAGGCCGATATGTACCGGACATGTTCCTGATGGCTTTGAGCATTAGCATCAGAAGCATTTCTATTGAGAAGGGGGGGGGGGGGGGGATTTTTGAATAAAGTAGATGCCATTTCCTACATTCTGGTGTACTTTAACGACTTGTTAAACGTCTATGTGTACCTACAAGCCACCCCTCCACCCGGTCGACAAATGCCGGCACTAACATAGCTCTAAGCTAGCGGCGCGCAATATAGACGCTCTAGCTAAGATGCTATACGTCACGCTCTCACACATCCAAATCCCCCCAGGTCAACCACACCAGCCCTAACGTAGCGCTAAGCTAGCACGAAACACAGAGGTGTCTCCCCCTCCTCCCCCCACCCTGCTAAGTGATCTAGGCTGGGGGAAACCGCGTATGGTGAGTTGTTGTAGGCAACCAGGAAAACCCGGAGTGGACTTTTAGTGGTTTGAGGAGTCTCCTATTAATCAAGTGGAATGGATTTGTTCATGTTAGAAACAGCGCTGAGTGAACTAATGGTTCATGAAAAATATGGGGCGGGGGGTTCCACACAAATATTTTTTAAATGTGAGGAGAACACGTCCCCTTCACATATATCAGTAATTGATGCGACGCCTATGGGTTTGAGTCTGGTCTCATCTGACCGCAGCACTTTCTCCTGCTCTTTGTGGAGTCTTCAGTCTGCTCTTTGCCAAACTCTAATAGTCTTTTATTTATTTATTTGTTTTATCATTTTTTTTTCTCTTTTATGAAGCCTAGCTCTATGCAGTGTGCAGAGTACTGAGATCTTATGGACATATCCTCCTATATCTGCTGTTGCTTTGTAAAAAAAACACACACAACAATGAGGTAGATGGTGGGGGGTGCAAGCACCTGTAAATGTGTGTGAAACTATTTTAAACTCTTTACTACATTGTGATATTGGACCTAATGACACATTTTTAGACTTTTTAATATTTTATTGCCCGTGTGAAATCATCTTTTTCGCCAAGTCCAGCGTAAAACCTTTTTCACATCCTTTAAACTCGTCACCTGAATAGACATGCTGCGTCAAAAAACAAAGTGAAGATCGCATCAAACCAGAAAATTTAAAACTGTTTACTTTCTAATAGTCACAAAATCTCATCCGCATCTTTGAATGAATCTGATTACTTTAAATAAAAACACTCAGTGTAAATACTGTTGCCACATTAAAAAGTAAATATTCTACTGCTTCAATCAAGCAAGAAAATGAAGATTAATCCGTCACGTTAAATAGTCCCATTTTCTCTTTTCCTCTTATTTGTTGGATTTTTTTCAGGAAATATCAGCTTTTTTGTAAATATACATACATATAAATACTTTTGATGTGGTTTTAAAGGTTTAGAATGTGCAATGGACCTTTGTTTCACTGGTTTTAATCTGTTTTAATAAGTAAAAATTAGCCTCATCTGTTCAATTCTACGCAGATTTCTGATTCTCAGTTTGTGGTCATTTGTGTAAAGAGTCAAGTAGTCAAGCAGAAGTTTGAAGTTTGTTTTTATACTGATAGAAATTTAAAATTTTATTAAAGGTTTTAAAGATTTGTTACTCTTTAGAGAACAGTTTATACGCATGAACACATGGAATATGCAATCTTAAGAGAGAAAGGTTGAATTTTGCAGTTTCTCTTACAGTGTGGAGCAGTTTAAGTCTTAGTTTTGATTTTTTTTTTTTATTGTGCACTTTGGGGTTTGTAAATTTCTGCTTTAGAAGTAAAACTGATAGAAACGTCTAAAGCGCCGCAGCTTTCAGAAGCCTTTTTATAACTTGCATGAAGAAAACAAGTGAATTTTTGTCTTAAATGAACAAACCAGAACTGGAGAAACGCTTGTTGTGATTATTTCTCATCCTGACTGATGTATTTCACATTTTTGGTGCGTTTCATCATTTCTTTGTGAAAAAAAAAAAAAAATTCCTGAGCAACATTTCTGATGCTTCAAAACGTCATCGAGGAGAAAGTAAAACGTGTGCGGTCAAGTAATTTTGATCTAAATGAAGTATTTTATTGAACTATTTTTATTTACATGTGCTTATAAATTAAAAGGTACAGAGCTGGAGATATGTTTTATACCTGCACAGGAACTCAGCGATGACAGAAAACATCCGAGGCTGAATGTTTAAACCTAATCCTGTCAAGAATAAACTCCTCTCTTCGTTTCAAACGTCTCCTTTAGATTAAATCAGAAACTGCCAAAGCGGGTACAAAGTGGTCTGGCGGGTACGATATGGGGAGAGGTGGGGACGGCTGAGCACACAGCTGTGCACGGGAAAACAGACCAATATGGTGACTCAGAATGCAGCTGGTCCAAAACACTTTGGTCAAAAAACGAGAACGTTTTGAAACAGAAATGCAACGTTTACTTTAAAACAGTGGTTCCAAACTCTGGTCCTTGAGGAACACCATGTATGTTTTTGTTTCTCTGCTCCAACACGTGATTCAGTAGTTTAATTACTTCATTAAGTTCGGCAGAAGCCTGTTAATCACCCTTTCATTCAAATCAGTTGAGCAGAAAAACAGCTAAAACATGCAGGATGGCGTTCCTCAGGGACCAGGATTGGGAACCACTGACTTTCAACGACTGAAAACCTCACAGCTGCTAAATTATTTATACAAAATTTTATTTCCTGTCGTTCAAACGGCTCACAACATTTTTCCCTTTTATTCTTTATGGAAATGCCCCGAGAATTGTAGGTTTTTTTCCCCACGTGGGAACATGTGAACTTCATGTGTTTTTCTGTGAAGGATTAAAAAATCTGTTTGAAAAAACTAATTATCTTGTTCATATCAGCACCAAAGATATTAAAGTAGTAGTACACTCTTCATCCTTAAAGTCTTCAACTGCATTTTTCCAAAAAAAGAAGAGCTTATAGTTTTTTTTTGTTTTGTTTTTTGTCCCTGAACACTTCACAACTAAGAAAAATGTTACATTTATCCGCTTTTAAAGTCTGATGCAAATAAAATCAGAAATGATCAGAGATTATCAGAAATTATAATAATCTTAGGGAGAGGGATTTTACATTGCAAAGTGTTTCAGATCAAAATGAACCACAACAGTTTTATTTATT